ATTTAATAAAACTTAGAAGTATTTATTTTCCACTGACTTACTTGTAGAAGTTGAACTTTCTTATTATAATCATTTGATTTAATTTTCATAGTAGTGGAAGTATGTTTCCTTTCTTCCAAAAGTAAATATCCTCTTTCGCCATCTGGTGGCTAAACACAGCACTTTCCATGAAACAGCTGAAGTCAGATTTAATGTTTTCTGATTCATCTTACTGTAAAAATAAGGTTATTTTTAGACCAATGTAAACATAACCGACAATTCTGTTCTAATGGTTCAGAGCATTTTATTCAAATAGTTGCAGCTGTAATACTTAATGCAAGATAAGAAATAACCATAAAAATTCTGTTAAAAAAAATTGAGAGTAAACTCATTTTGAAAGTTAAAATTAGATATGGCAGTAATGATTTTTTACATGAACTTTTTGCTATAAAGAATTCACAGGATCTTTATGAAAACAAGAAGTTCCAAATAAATTTTAAATAAGAATGTCCATACAGTCAATTTCAAAAAGGTTTCAGTTTTGGATTTTTACTGTTTCAGCAATATCTATAACCACACATTGACAATCCACCATACCAAAAAGCAGCACAGCTAATTTAACAGTATATGTTTCCCTAAATATTTTTCATAATTAAAATTTTCAATGTATTTATTTGTATGTCTTGTATACATTTACCTCATTTCATAAAAAATGACAATCACTCAATGTTTCATTTCTTTATTTCCTCCAGCATATTTTAATATTGAAACCCAAATTGTTACTTTGAGAAAGGGAAAAACAGAAACATGAAGAGACAAACATTTCATTTAACTTATGGTATTGTGAGCAGTCACTTTTGTAGGCAACACTTTTTTTCTTTGTAGAAAAGAAGAAATAAAAAACAAACAGCACCATTAAAGAATGCATGATCCCTGAATTCTAAACAAAACACTGTCTAAAAATTTTTTCAATGCTTGTTGCACTCAGTCACATTTAGTCAGGTATCAAAGCAAGCATAACAGTATGAAATTGTAGCAGTCTCACTGAATCAACTGCTCCCCCTTCTGAGGATTTTATACACCTTTTCTGAGTTTTTCCTGTGGGAAGAATATATTCTTTGGTAGAGGACTGAAGGAGGGTTTTACTTTTCTGTATGCTGATATAAAATGTCTATGTATGTTCGGGTCTTTGCCCCCAATCTGTGTTTGTCATGCATGTTATGTTTGGGTTGAGTTCACATTTTGCTGTTATACTGTAGGAGTAATACCACCTTTAAAAAAGGCATTAAATGGCTAATGTCAAACAGATGTAAACATTCAGAATACTGACCAAAAAAAACCAAAAACCAAAAAAACACACACATTTAAAAAAAAAGTACAGAAAATATGAATTAGATTAAGATTCCATGAAGCAGAGGGGAAAATACAGCAGTACAAGAAAATTATGGCAACCAAGTAAAGCACTTTCTTTGAAACATTCATGAACAGTACAAATACAGCAAAGTTTTTCTACAGTCTAAATTATTCTGCTACTATCAAATATAGTACAAAGCGAAATAGTATGTGCTATAAAAAAGCAGCTCCTTTTAAATTATAGTAAAAATGCTTTTTGATCGCTGTACAGTGACAAAGCATGAGGACTGAAGACAAGAGTTTTCTAGTCAGTGACATTTTGGCTACATAGGCCCCTGACAGTCTAATGAGTTCCTTTTCTAGGAATCTTCACATTGTTCTCTGGAAACACAGATGGACAGTGACTCTGAGCTCTGTACGTTCGACGGGCTCCCTCCCGCCAGGCAGCTAGTTGCGGTGCTGGCCTCCACACAGAGAGACGATGCCACCCTAAGCTTGGCTTCAGCTTCTGTGACCCAGGACTTCACCAGACCAAGCAGGAGCTGGGAAACCAAGGCCACAGGAACTTCCTCCTTTGAAACTGTGCATTTGTAAATGAAATGGGGCTGCAGCATCATGTATTCTTACTTTTGACTGTATTATGAAGCACCAAATGCACCAACCTGTTTGATTCTGTTTACTCTGAATAAGAAAGAATATCCAAGGTCTAGAAGCCAACTATTACCTTCTATAGCTCATCCCCCAAACACACACCACCACAAAGTCTTATAGTAACCAGGCTCAACCGCATAGGTTTTCAAGTTTCTTCCTCAAACTAGACCTTAGCAAGGAAAAATATGTAACTATGGTGCTCAGTTCACCAACAGTTCTGCTATGCTCACTTTGGGGAAGGAGAAACATTTTCATTTTGAAAATGAATTTGCATCAGAACGTTCTTATTAACATGCCCATTAACTACCAAATGTCTTTATATGCTTCAGGCATATGCATATCATGTTGTAGGAGGGGTTAGGAAATAGCAGTTTTCTTCCTTCCCCGGCTCCAAAAGTGCTACTTAGGGAAATACATCCTTTGTGGTAACAAAAGAAAAAAAAAATTACATGTTACATGTGCAAGTTCTATTCCTGATAGGGATAACAGTGTCCAATAATCAGGATAATGCACACACTAAAATTTGCACATTACATCACAATGACTATGTAGTAAATAACAAACACCTTTTGCACATAGGCAGACACCTGTGAAAATCAGGAAACAGAACCTACTCATATAATGCAAACTTAATGTGTTTTTGTATATAAATTAAGTGGCCATTGTAAATTAGCTCAACCATATTTTCCTTCTGAATTTTTCTTTCCATATTTTAGCCCAAAGATATTAAATTTTCAGAAATATATGCAAACATTAGGAATTTCAACAGGAGCATAAAAAAAAAAGAGTACAGAAAAATTATGCTCTTTGGACCTGGTTATCCATGCATAATCAAGAACTGATTCTCCAAACCTACGTATGTGAGAAACCAAAACATGCAGAAGGACACTTTTCTTTATTCCCAGTAAGCAACTTGCAGGTTCTAGATGATGGAAGTGTTAGTGAGCTCAATAGCATGCTTGCCTCAATGGTACCTCATATACAGAGTGCAAAAGTTCTATAGACAAGAGTTTTCAACACAGTGTCAGTTACTAATGTGGTAGTTTTGAAACTGCTGGTGTAGACAGTATCTGACACTGGTATAGCAACAACTGAATTTGGAAGGAGTTGACATACGAGTGTCTGTATTTTAGGGGCGTCCCTCTGTGAGATTAAAGCATGATCTTCTGAACCAAGATATCAGAGCCAAGCAGACCAGACAGACTCCACGGGCTAGTATTCCACCCAGTCACAACCCGGCACAGAGTGAACCAAGGGTCCGCTGGGGCTTAGCTGCATCCTTGGGAAGGAAGGGCTGGTTAAGTGCATTGTTAATTCTCAGTCATTTATTTTGATTTTAATGTGAAGAACAGAAGTGACAGTACTGAAGCACCAAATTGTGGCCACAGAAGCTGGCCCTTCTTTGCTTTTCTTTCCTTTTTAAAGATAATCTTGCATTATCTGTAATGTGTTTTAAAAATGACATCTTCATCACTTAAAGAAATTTGGCAGCATCACAATTATATGGAGAAAAAAACAACATAACATGGTTGATTACTATCAAAAATCATGTGGGTTTTTCCAGGAATGCATTTCCTGCTCATTCCAGTTTATGTTTAAGACATATTTTAAGGGAATGTTAAAAGTGTACATTGATTAGGATAATTCCATGTGAAAATATCTGTCATTTTTACCCTGGATGTGAATGGTCCCTCCCTCCCCTTTTTTTTTAGTTCTCTAGCCACCACGAATCAGTGGATTAATGGCAAACCACATTTTGTGCTCTGTAATCTGAAGTTAAATGGGCGTGGGTTCTGTTGTCTTTCGTCTTCCACAATGAGGATGTGCTTTTCACCTTGCCTTGGGAACAGAGCCTTCTGAAGGGCACCTTTGCTCTGGCATGACGGTGGCCAAAGTATCTGGAATGCAGCTCATGTATTTCACACTCAGACTTTACAGGATAAACACTAATGATATTTGTAAGATGCAGTATCCCTTTTTCAAAAATAGTTCTAGTCCCCCAAATATGAAGAAGGTCCTAAATTCACCTGAGGGGCAGGAAGACATGCAATACCTAGGAAGATTTTTAAAATAATGACTATTTCAGAGTCAAATATAATGATATATAGATCGTGAATCATGGAAAAATTATGTTGAGGAAAATGTCCACACTTCAGCTTTATGTAGTTCCTTTTTGTCAACGACACTTTAAGGAATTGGTGTCCACACTCTGCTGAACTGGAAGCCAAAATGCACGGATGTCATCAATAAAGGACTACAGTCTTTTCCCCCCAAACTGTATTAGTGAAGGGATTTTATATTATCAACCCGTTTATGCGTTGGCATACAAGCCTTTTACTTGTCTGCTTTTGATTTGGGGGCATTTTTTTCATACTTGCTCTTAAAAGCCACACATGAAGTCCCACAATTTGCCAGGCCAGAGGCTCTCTGTTGGCCAATGGATCTTAACAATATCAGGTGTCAAAGGGCTCAGACCAGGCTACTGGGCAAGAGGCTCACACTGCAACGTGCATGCAATGTCCAAGGCAGAACCAGAAATTTTGCCAGCCTCTGCAAAGAGGAAAAATGGGAGGAAAGGGGAAATGGAGAGTGAGGTTAGTTAATGGCATGCCTCCTTTAATGCATCTTTTGTGACGAGTGAATATGAGGAATCACGTTTAAATCAGATTCCTTTCTCCAAATACAATTTAATCACTGTGGTGACCGTAGGTCCTTTGCGTTAAAGAGTCAACGTGACAGAAGATCACATAACCACCTTAGATTCCTTGGCCATTTTCTTTCTACCACTGCATTTCGATTAGTAGTAAGTCAATAAAATGTCCTTTCCTACCTACACCTGGATTAAAAAGAGAAGAACGGGCTAGCGAGCTGTGAGCTGTATATCCTCGGACAGAAATTTTCCAAGCTGGGAACGGCAACTAAGTATGCAAAAAACATGCTGGTGAGCCACTCAATTGAGATGCAATCTCCCTTTTCTGAGAAATGCAAGAAAATAATCATCCCATAGAGAAAAGACAATCTGTTCCAAAGGAAAATAAATTAGCGTGCTATAAACCACCGAGTTATTCAATTTGTTGCAGTAGATGCCATTTGGCTTTTCCGTGTTGAAAAGGGATACTGCACCTTGCATTCAGCTCCTATCGTACAACCAGGCAAGCTACACAGAGTTTTGAAGGACCTATGCAGTCATCGTGGCAGAAGGCCCCACAGCCTTTGCACACAATCATGGCTTTCAGCCGGCAAGAGCATTTCAGTTCCAATTCATCCGCATTGCTGCTGTCGGCAAAGTTCTGGACGGGCATCTGAGCGTTCTGACCAGGCAGGCCGGTGGCAGGGTTGGAGCCACTTCCCAAAATCCCAATAGACTTTTCAATTGCAGATGCTGCCCTTTTGAAGCTCGTGCTCCCAAAGTGTATTGTTGGATAATTTCCACAGAGCTGCTGTTGTTGCTGCACCTGCATTTTCTGAGCAGCTAATTGGGTAAAAGGCTTTTGTGGCTCAGAAAGCAAATAGGAAGAGAAATCTGCATTTTTTATCGCAAATGCTTTTAACTGTTCTTTCATTTCATTCTGGTCATAGGAAACTTGTTTCATGCCCAGTTCACAGCTGCTGCTTAAACCTTCCTCAAAAGAAAGAGGTTCCGATTTTATATTGCTACATATGCCCGTGGACTGTGGCCAACTAAGTCTCTTAGTGGTTTCCATGGTAACTGGTGGTTGTTTTTGCTCTGGTGGGACTTCGGCATTAGGAAGAGGTGGAGGTAGTGGAGGTGGTGGTGGGGGAGGAGGGGGCAAAGCCAAGGGCGGAGGGGGAGGTGGTGGTGGGGGTGGAGGGTGCACTAGTGCTTTGTTTGGCATTGGGTGTGCAGCCCCTCCCACGTCATCACCTTCTTTAATGGGTATGTTGGGGGACAGCATGTTGCTTAGCCTTAGCTGGTGAGGTGCTGAAGAGAGAGCAACTTCTCCCAATCCCTTTTGTTCAAGATGCCTATTGAAGGCAAATGCATTACAGCCAACTGGGGTCTTGGCAGAGGCCTGCAACAGAGCTGCAGTAGGAATGGGGCCCCGGGTCGCCATCGGCATTTGGTAAAACTGCTGTCTGTGTGAGGTACCAGCATCAGGATGGAAGCCACCATTCTTGTCAATGTGAAACAGATTCTGCTGGAAGCTACAGGAGGGCAGCAGTCGCTTCTGCTGTTTGACCTCAGGGCTGTGAACAATTCTGTTCTGCATGGCATGCTTGTTCAGCCACTCTTGCTTAAATGGCTGGCCATGTCCCAGCTGATTCATGCTGGTGTTGATGACACAAGGCACCCCTTTAGCATCCGAGTCTACCAACAATTTTCCTGGTTCACATTTCACTTGAGTGTGTTCCCCTACAGTCCGGGCTACTCTCTTTTTGGGATGGTTTTCTCGCTTTCTCATTTGTAGGGGTGCAAGCGTCCCTGCCAAGTAGCCCTTTCCTTCTGGATTTGGAGAGCTGGAAGGCATTTCAACCACGTTCCTCTCTGGTGCTATTTTGCCCACTGAGGTAGTTTGAAGAGGCAGCGGAAGCCTATTAATTTCGAGTTTAGCTCCCAGCCTGGGCTGTGGCAACACTTTTTCCAAAGGTAGGTTGCCCTGCAGCAACTGTGTCACCAGTGGATTGTTAGCCTCCACTGAAGACAGGCGACAGCTTGAGCTCCCTGCATTGGAAACTCTTTTCAGGTTGTCTGTAGCCAAGGAAATGGCCTCTTCCATCGGACCAGAGGTTGGAGCCTTCACGTTTGGTGCCTGCTGCACACTAGGGGCTACCTCTGCTGCTGGCGGAGGCAGCTCAGGGCCAGGGAAGTCTTCAGTGTCCATTCTGAAGCCCTTGTCCACTTCAAGAGGTTCGGATTTCACAGGGAGAGCGACGTTGGTTATGAGATTCCTGGGGTGAAGTTCTGACATGTGGGAGTAGCTGGCGTGTTCAGTTTTGATAGCCTTTGGACAGCTTTGCTCTAGATATTCTTTCTGTTTACTTGAACCAGAGTGACTGACCAAAGGCTGTCCTGTGTTCCTCACCCCTTCATCATTCCAGCAAATCCGGTTGCCTGGATTATACTGATTGCTACAGGTTGTGTCTGCTTCACTTTTGAAAGTGGTTGGGACACGTGCCTGCTCAGCAAAGCTATTGCTAGGGATAGTCACCTCATTTAATTTGTCTGGAACAACAAGGGGTACTTCTCGGAGACTGGTGCAGGTGGCCTGCATCGTTTTACAGTCTTGTTTTGCTGCAGAAGCAGCAATGAAACTAGAACCATGATCGACACCTTCACTTGCAGCTGGCTCAGGCCTGCTAATGACAGATACCTGAGGACATGCCATGGGCTGTATGGGTGTTTCTGTCCTCACAGATCTGCTTTGGAGGTCCAAGCTGGCTTCAGCACTTTCAATGGAGACAGTCAGAGACAAAGTGGAGGTCAGCGTGGCGCTGTGGTCAACGATGACTTTACAAGGGATTGATCTGTTGATGGCTGCTGGTGCAAAGCCTCCCGGAGGTTGTTGAGGTTTCCCAGAATTGTCTGCCCTGTTGCGAGGTCCTGAATTTTTGTCCAAGCTTTCAGCACTTAACTTGGGAGGACTATCATAAGAGTTTATTGTCAGCATGCTCCCAGTAAACATTGCCATGGGTGGGCGTGCAACCAGAGTGTCTGTGACCGTGACAGAATCCTTGCAGCTGAGGGCTGCCCTCACAGTGGTACCCATGGATGCCGAGGCCTGCTCTTCATCCCTGGGCATGGTTATCTTCTCAGAAGGAAATCTGTTGTTAATTCCCGTTGGGGGAATCAAAACAGAGCTAGTGGAGAGATGGTTTGGCAAGTTATTTCCAACGGAGGGAGTTGGCACAGAGGTGTACTGACTGGAGACTAAGTTACTGGCACTGCTGCTTGACATGAGCAACTGCTTGTCATCCATGGAATTTGACACACTGGAGCCCTCGGTAGTGGCGGGAACAGGAGTGCTTTCAAGACATTTTGGTATAATGGCTATGCATGGAGTATCAGTCCCCTGGATGGTTTTTAACATGCTTATATTGCAAGCAGAAATTGTAGTGTTTGTGCTGTCAAGAGACATCAGAACAGAGGATTTATCAACAGAACTCACAAAGGGATGTTCTTTAATTGCTCCCGACATAGCAGTGCTGCAGACAGACACGGGGACAGAATTTTTATTAAAAAGCATGGGCACACTGCTATTTTCAGAAGAGGTAGATGAAATAATTTTCTCAGATAAATGTGACACAGGTATATTTTCGTCAGAACTATGCACAGATAAGTCAGTGGCAGTTTCTGGAAGTTTGCTTGGGTTAAGAGGCTGCTGAAACACAGTGGCAGTCTCCCGGAGGTGCACAGACTTGTTGGTAGGAGATCTACAGTTTGGATTGGCAATGATGACACCAGTTGAGCCTTCAACTTTTGTTTCAGGAGTTGAAGAGACTTCTAAGCTTGGAGGCCCTTCCTTTGAGCTGAGTGGAGGCAATCGGGACTCTTTAGTGTTCTGGAAGAGGTGGGCTCGGGCTTGATGCTTTGCAAAGAGCTTGGCTTTTGTCTGCTCTTTGATATGTGCCAGGGTCCTCGCCTTTCCTCCCTCTCCTGGGCTCCCCATGGCACCAGAAACGATGCTTGCTGCAGCAGCTACAGCAGCCGCTGCAGCTGCCTCCCGCTGGGCTCTTGCCTGCTGGGCTCGAGCCTTGATATCTGCCAGGGTCCTGGCTCCCGTGTTCCTCCCACCACTGACGGAAGTGCTAGGGGATGCGCGGGACTCTGGTTTGGAGATGGGTTGACTCTTGATAATAAAAGGTGGTCCAATTTTGGAAAGCTGGATCTACAGGAAGGAGAGAATGAAGAGATAAGTATTTCATACATGATCATAGGAGGCATGTGGAATGTGAAGATGAAAGTCTCTGGAGAAAAGAAGCTGTATTCACTCATAGTGTGGAAATCAACTACACCTAAAATTCCTGTATGGGCCTGAGGGGTATAGGTGCCAAGAAATGCAACATGAATATGAAAATTAACTTTTAAATCTCTATTTTTAATCTCTAAAAACATCAATGAGTGAATTCATTTGGCATGGAAATGAAATTTTCATAATGCCTGATATAAATGGAAACAAAATCCATGCTTGTTTAAAATGAGGCTAGCAAAAATGACTTAGAGATATTTAGGTTTTAAATTACCTTCCTTACTGGAATGAAAAGCAGGGAACTTAATTCTACTTGAGTTTATCTGTCTTAATTTGACACAAGGAAGTAATGCTAGCCAAGAGGTCAGGAGACTACCATTCTCGTTCTAGAACTTTGTCCTTCCGCTAATCCTTGTAATTCAGTTTCTCTAATAACCTCCCTGCGGCAGTGTCTCTATGGCTTTTATATACTTCCTTAACACCTAAAAGGCTGCTTTATATGTATGTAATAAGCATACAATACAAGTTTGTAAACTCACTTGTAAAATGTTATTTCTGGCCAATTTCTTCCCAGAGTTGTCGTAAATAAGGAATAAAACTATATTTGTGAGAGTGTTGTGCTTTCCAGAGGGATTTTATTGTCAATATGCTTTCCTGAAATAAGGGCAATTCTGGTTTTCTTCCTTTAAAAGCAAGTATGGGCTAGCAATCTCTTTTGTTAAATTTTATAAATATCCAAACCCACAATGTTTACCTACTTATGACACGATCAACAATTCTTGAGGCACAGTCCTGGCAATTAACATCCCAGAACAATGCTTGGGTGTGCTGGCTGCTGAGGACATTCTTAAAGAGATCGAACTAAAAGATGGATCCTGGGAGGTGGACTCCCTGGAATCATGTAACCAGTGAGTGACACGAGCCTCTGCTTTCCCCTTTTGGGATGCTGGTAAATATTTTGCTTATCCCTGCCTGCCCTTATCCTTTAGAAAAAGTTTTTCCTAGAGAACTTGTTCCTCTTAATGCATGTATGATCAAATATCTGGGAATCTATAAAAAATTATCAATTTGGAATTATGCTTTAGAACATCAGTAGATTGAATTACCTTTCTGAATTCTCTCACTACTCACATTCAAACTTCTTGTGACATCTCCCTTTTAAGCTAAAGGCTCAAAAAAAAAAAAAGAATTTAGAGAAGGCATTCGAGTGTTCATTTAAATACTTCCTTTTGCCTAAAAATAAATTTAAGTTTAGATGTACTTAAGAACTCAAGGCTGAACATTAAATATACTTATAGTGTTCATCTAATTTTATTTTTCAATGGAGTTCTATTGATATGCCATTTGTTCACGTAACTATATAATTTGGGGAGAACAATTTCATACCTCAACATGCACACTTGCTTCATTCATTCTCCACCAAATACTCCTGTGCCACCAGAATATCTGCCTTCCCTCCCCGCTCCTTCTTACCCCTGCTATCTGGGTACAATTACATTTTCCACAGAGCCTGAGAGTTATTTCATTGTGCTTTGGCAGTGTTTTCCATTGGTTATTTATATTGCACAAGTAAGTGAAAACAACTGGTTTCATTCTTTTACTTTCTAATTTATTTCATATTGGAAAATAACCTCAAGATCTACTCATTTTATCCCAAAGGCATTTTATCTTTTTAAATAGCCGAGTGGCATTCCATTGAGCATCTGTCCCATACACTTTATCTAGTTCATCTGTCGATGGACATGTAGGCTGATGCCTTGTCTTGGCTACTGTGAATGTGTCACTTTGAAAAATGGTTTCTGACCAAAAACTCAGATGGGTATTGCTAGAAATATATCCTATGAGAAGCATGCTTATTATTTTTTCTTTTCATTGTTGCCGAAATTAAAATGTAAAGCAGGTTTTTAACTGGAACTTGGTGTTTATCTTTTATATTTCTGGAATCTTATTTAGTAGAGACTGCTTTATTAAACAGAATAACTAAAACCACACTCTCAAATGTCAGCCTTACAGACATCATGATTCACATATGATTAGATGTCAGAGTAGCACAAAATAAAGAGGTTAAGAAAAATAAAGCTTGAGTATATGTATTATTCTAGATCAACCCTATGATGAAATAAGCCACTTTACTTTAGGACTATATAAATGGACTGATAAAAGCACAACTAAATATAAATTACTCTGGGTAGATATTTTTAAAGCTGGAAAGATAGCTTCAATTTACCTTTTCTTCTGTTTACCTAAGCAAAGCCAATTCATATAAAAGGTTTGTTTTCTGAAAGTACAAATCTACCTGGGATCAAAAGGAAATACATAATAGGATGTTTGTATATAGCTTCCCTATGTGTAAAGCTAAATATGTACTTCTTTACTCTCTTGAAAATAAAAAAGAAGTGGATTTTTATGTCTATATATCTATAGTAATTTTCTTCAGGGTTCATAATACAGTTTCATTAAATTATTGACATTATATTTAATGAGGTTCTCCCATAAATCAGGCCCACTCTTAAGAAATGGTGGTGTTCACTGTGGGAAAATGAAGGAATAATACGTAGCTTCATCTCTCTAGAGTATACTTCTGATTTTTGACTACTTCTTTCCTAGCCCTAAAGAACTTTTATAGAACACTGAATTATCTTTCAAATTTTCCCTAAAGTAGGTCTCTTTTTACACATTGGGTTCCTCAAGCAAAGGAGAACAATGCTCCCTCTCCAATTCTTTTTCACTAAATTCTGAAGTTCAAATATATGTTAATCTATATAAAATGAATACTTTAGCTTAAAATTTGAGTTCCATACAGAGTCTTAGATATAACTTGACAGCAGACTGGGTACTGAGAATCTTAAATTATAAATGGCTACATAAAACCTGGAAGAAAACAAAACATTTTTTTTTATTTTTTATTTTTTTGAAAATTAAGTATCTCAATAGGAAAAGCCTACAGAAGTGGCATACCTTGAGAGGTGGTACCCTGGGCTCCTCTCTTGGGGGCGGTTCTTTCTCTGGTGGGTTGCTAGATGATGTGTTCCTGGTTGACTGATCATCTTCTATCCTAGCCCTCTTTTCTTTGCATATTCCAAAGCTATGCTGCTCTGCAGTTTTCCTCTTGGATATCTCAGATTCTCTATTTTCATTTCTTATGCCTTCAGGTGACTTGGAGAGCTCCGAAGACTTGGGATTATGTGAGGTATCCAATCGATTCTGTGAGCAACCTTGTTTATGTGTTTTATTCCTAGAGCCTTCTGAAAATGAAGGCTTATCCACTGATGGAACATATTGCTTATCCTGTAATTTGACTGATGGATGCTCACTTCCCTTACTTTCAGACTCCTCAGTAAAGACAGATAATTCCAACGGTGAGGACACCCCTTTCTTGTCTGTTCGTTGTAGGATATTATGGTTTTTAACTTTTATCATTTCTGTTGAAGGAAGTTCTGAAATTGAAACAGGGTAGGAGTTCTCAGTTTCAACATGTGATTTACAAGACTGTTGACTCAAGGTCTTATTGTGTAATTCTTCAGAGGGAAATGCCTCAGGAGTAGTGGAAGAACCTATTTTTATAACTTCAGGAGTGTTTGATAAAGTCTTTTGCTGAGAGTGAAGGCTCTCTCCCAGAGATTTAGTGGGGAGAGAAGATTCATCTTTCTGTGGTGAGAGTGGTTCTTCAGTTACAGGAGGGGACTTTCTTTGCTGATGTGCCATTCTTTCATTCATGGAAGAAGTAGAAACTGGAGATGTTTCTGAAGGAAGTGGCAAACTAGATACAAAAGTGGTCTCAGCTGTGAGGAGCATGGAAGACACTGAAGAGGTTTCTGATGTCAAAGGTAAATCAGACATGGGTGATGTTTCTGATGTTAAAGGTAAATTAGAAACTGGGGATGCTTCAGACGTTAACGGTAAATTGGACATTAAAGATGCTTCTGATATTTCAGGTGAAGTGGATATTGGAGATATTTCTGACATCAAAGAAACATGAAGGGTTTCATCAGTGGGATTTCTCTGATTATATTTATCTGTATTTTCAGTGCTGGACACCTCAGAACAAAATGTTGTCTCAAGAGAGGCTGGAGTACATGATTCTTCTGAAGTGGATTGGGTTTCCCCTCCTGGGGATGTCAAACTGGTACAGGCTCCCTCTGGGCTCTCAGAAGAGAAGGAAGTTTCAGAGATGCAAGCGTTTTCAGAAAGCTGTTCATCAGGATCACTCTGTAGCTCCATATCTACAGCAATTCCTTCATTTGGAAATTGTCCTTCTAAAGACGACGACCCTGGTTTTGGTTTTGGAGTATTGGTCTCTACTGTGGTTTCTGGCTCTTTATGTTCTGTGTCACTGACATGAGTCACAGATGAAGTGGAAGGAATAAAAGAGTCACATACTTCCAGCTGATCAATAACAACTGACATTTCTTCCTGGTGAGATTCTGACTTCTCTTCTACCTTAACTTCAATATGAGGCAAAGTTTCTAAAACATCATTCATTATAACACAGGATTCCAGATTATCTTCAGGAGGTGCTATTGAGGGTTCTTCATGAGAGTTGGTAGGACTTTCAGACTCCTCAGAAAATTCAGGGATTGTCTTATGATTTTCATCCTGGCATTCACAGATACTAGTCTCTACCTCTTCTGCAATTTCTTCCTGAATTACAGATTCTTCAGAGATCAAGATATCCTCAGATTCTGATTCTACCATTACATCTTTACCTACATCTACCATAGGACAAAGTGTAGCACAGAAATCAGGCTCTGGAGAAGCTGGATTTTTCATGCTTTTTGGGTGTTGTTCTTCCAAGGGAGTCTGTACAGAAAGGCCTGGAAGCCCAGATGTTCCACATGAAGAACTACTTTCAGCTCCCTCATTGTTTGGTCCGGATGTGAGCTTTACAGATTCCTCTCTTGACATGCCCAACCTGAACAGAAATTAGATATTTTAAATTATTGTTCAACCACAAATTATGTTGGATACCACTTGGATCTCTTGCAAACACTGTCCTCGAGAAACAAATGCATCAAATTAATTTTATAGTCACTTGGTTTATGTAAACCAAGCTTGGTTTATGTAAATCAGGTTACAGACTGAGTTTTTCTACTGCTTTTAGACTATCTAAGATAAAACTGAATTTTTGTTAAAAAAGGGATAAAGTTTTATTCTTAAGCAAGGAGATATGAACTTTACTAAGTATTAGTAAAGGAAATAATATAGTTAGAAGTTACAGAAGATTAGAAAATATGAACAGAAAAGTAAAAGAATGTGTAATATATATCTTTGAAAGTCAAAAAGTAGAAAGGTATATATGTAGAAAATTAGTCTTCAGAGGATATAACATGACCAAATAATTATGATAAGATGGATATGTTCCAAAATCTTAAAATTTAAATGACTTCCAAAGAATAAATACTCTTAAAGCAACATAAGAGGTTTTACTTAACCTTCTTATTTTATTATCTAACTATATAACTTAAGAAAATATGGAAATTTTATTAAAAAATAAAAAAAAATTTAAGGTCATTAACATTAATTTTACTAGACTATATTTGCATGAAACAAGACTTTTAACTTCTTTCATGTAGACCTCTTGCTGAAAGATATTCCATTAAAAATAGCAAAGAATATCAAGAAATAATCCAGACTAGAGTTCAGGTAGCAAAGAAAACTTAATCAGAATTATATCAAAGATACTGTAAATCATTATTTCTTGTAATAGTGAGTTATAAAACCATCACTAGATGGTAGAAAAATATGCATTCTAAATGAAGTTAAATTAGAGTACTGTCAGTTACAAAGAGAAGCAGAAAAAAAATTATTCCTGAGGAGGAAACAGATTTGAGTGAGGAAATATGGATATACTAGTACCAATGAAGGAAAAAATCCACAGTGGAATCTAGACTTTCACGCAAATGAAATCCTCAAAATGAAAGGAAGTAAAATTTAACAAACTTTATAGATATTTGATTGTAATCTTCTTTAGTAAAATTCAGAAATCTCTGGGAAGATAGAAGACACCTCCTTTAGTAGTCTTTTTTCTTTCCACTTAGTCCCTAAGATGGGAATCCTATAACTGTGCTACTAGAGAAGCAGAGTAGCTAATTTACAGATAAATTTAAAGCAGAATAATCAGCTAGAAGATACTTTGGGTTAGGTCAAGAGGAGATACCACTAGTACTTGGTTAGATGTAGAACATATAGGAATCTATCCACTAGCAGTCAAATTTCTGATAGTTAATAAGGGTATTATTAAATATTCTTAATGCTATTAAATATATATATATATATATATTATACATAGCAAGTGACAATGTATAAAATATGTCAATGTCGACATTTTATTATTTTTAAGGGAAAATACCTCTAAGATGACATAAAGTGCAGAAGAAAGATGCTAACAGTACACCATTTACTGCACAAAGGAAAGCATGGAACTCCAGAAGTCTATACCACAAATCAACATACCAACTCCTATGACTGAGTTAAATAACTGAACATAGAATTGTACTATATTATATGCAGAGTAAGTCAATAGGGCAAAGATTTCAAACAAAGGCTAGAAAATGAAGACAGACATATCTTAATTAGAGGTAAGGTGGATAGCAACATTCTTGAGGAACTTAGAGCAAAAAGAGTCACACAGTATCAAGTTGAATGAAAATCATCTGTTGCTAAGAAAAAAAATCCTGTTCCTACTGGAGGAATGTAGTAATCCAGAACTATTAAAATTAGCAGTCAATGAAGTATTCAAAATATATATGACATCCAAAATATAATCAAAGATAAATAAGAACAAGAAAGAAGTCCAAAGCCCTAAGGAGACAAAAATTCTATTGATAATTCTATGGATAGCAAGAAAAGGACCAGTGAAAGAGCTATTTGTATTAAGAACTAGGTGAAGGTGATGGAAAGGGTAGTCACAGTTCTGTAACTGTGATCCTCCCAAAAGAAACCCTGAACTTGATATCCCAGGGAGTCTCTGAAGCCCACAAATTCCATGTAAAAAAAATCGAGTGTGCATGTTTATATATAAATTTGTCTGAGAAGGGTTTGCTGGATTAAAGACCCTAACCAAGTTAGTGAACTATGCCATGTGTAAATCTGGGGAAATCAGTTTCACTGCCCCTTAGTTTCCTGAACTTTTTTAAAATATATGAATAATGATGGTATCCATTATTTTAAGATCAACAGGGAGATTAACACTGGAATAATGCTTGCATACTTCTTAAAACCTAGCAAAGCAGGAGCATATGCAACAGTTATCTACTGAATCAAGAGGAGCTCCTTTAAATGCATGGTCACTAGAAATTAGGCTCCCTGAAGGAAGAGTCTTCGGAAGCCCTATAAATGACTGTACCTACGATATCTTCTATAGTGCCCATCTTAGAGGAGATGTTAGCTAAATGATGTTGAATTAATTAAAAAAAAAAAAAAAAGAACTCAGACTGGACCAGGGTTTTGGAGGTAACTAATTTGGTTATGCTTCTGTCATTACTTTACAAAGTGCTCCCAACTTTTCCTTTGACAGCAAAGGGTGAGAGAAACCTCTTAAATGATCTTCAGTGTCTTCTGGAAATTATCAGTCAGTATGTCCAGGTGGTCTTAGAAGTCTACCTCTGTTTGAAAAGCTTCAATAACCAGGTTTGAGTTAATTCTGCTTATGACAAGATGATAAGACAGAGAAGCCAGAGAAGCTCTTTAAATTTTGAGAAAAAAAATAGTAATCCCCCCTTCTCATTTCCCTGAAATATGTACATGAACCCAGGCATGCTGGGATAGCCATTAAACTCCAGCCTTTCTTCCTACTGGACACTACTTCCAGTTAGAGAGATTCAACAAAGGCTGGTTTAGCAATCTGAGTATGCAGATTGTTAGTAAATAATGTGATCCCTTTTCATGAAAGGCACTCATGTGAGATTCCTAGTATGATTTTCTTCATTAATAGGTGTACATTTGTGAAATTAGATCCAAATGGTACAGATTTTGTTACCTACAACTACTCAGTGTCTTTTATACACAGCAATCATACTCAAGCATCAACTGTGTACCTGGCAGTTCTATTTTCTACTATGAAGAAAGACCTGCATAATGGCCAATTTTCAGCCTCCAAATCTCTCCTCCTTTCTTAGGGATTGATTGTCTATGAAAATCGAATCCTGCCAAATAGAGGATGTGTCTGTTAACTGCAGGGCAAAGGAGAAACCATTTTCAGTTGAGGTCAGTAACTACCAAATTTATTTGTGGCTGGTATGATATTATTTTAAAAAGGAAACACACACAAAATGAAAATAAAGTGTTACAAACAGGCTACACCTGAAGAAAAATATAGATAGCGTGAGGGTAATATTTCTGTAGCTTCTCCCAAAATCAAGAACTAAGCAAATATATATGCATAGTCAACATATTTTGAAAATGTGAGAATATGTGCCTGAAACTACTTTCTCTGAGATATTCACTAATGAAAGTACTTAGATAAAAAAGCAGGAGATTTTTACTAAGCTCCAGTTAAGAAAGCCAAAATTGACTTCTATTGGATTTCATGTGCTATTTTCAGTCAAAAATGAATTTTCATGGACAGGTTATAAACCCTTGAAATGCATTTTTTAAAATTTAAGTGCTGATATGCCACTATAATTTTACCTGCAATTTCTTACACTGAGGGACTATTGCCTTTTATCACAGGCTTATTAAGTTTTACAGCATATGAGTGTGCTATGTGAAGCAGAGAATTACATTTTCATTTCTTTCTAAGAGAAATGAGGAAAAAATGTTCTAGTACTTACTTTTCTCCATAAAACCTTTCAAAGAATTTTTCTTTCCAAGGTTCCGTTTTCTTTTCCTTCTCAATTTCTTGCCTTATTCGCAATTGCATTTCTGGAGTAAATTCTCCTAGAAAGAAAATGCTTACAATTTGAGTAAAAATGGTCATTACCTTTGGCCAATTATTAAAAATAACTAATTTTTATAAACGTTTATGGATGTGGAAAAGTAAGAGATTACTGAAAATATTTTATAGCTTCTCGTTCTTTAAGCATCACTCAAATCACAATTTAGTTATAGAGAATCTAAAACATTGAGCAAGTATACTGCAAGGTAAGTAGGGCCTGCAAATGAAAAATGTATTTCACTGTCCTCAGTGAAGTCAATCTGGTGGAAGGAAAGGAACACTGCTGACTATAATATAATATCCTGTGTAGTCAGAAGAATAAAGGTAGTAAAATTATAGAAAGGAAAGTACTTAATTCTGCCTAAATTGATTAAGGAAAACCATATGTAAGAACTTATTCCTGAATTAGTTTTTGAGGGATGATCGAGATTGAAGAAGTCATTAAATCACAAGCACAGAGATATGAATATGTATTTTTTTTTTTTTGTTCTCCTGAGTGGGTGATAGGACTACAGCACAGAATGAAATGAAATGGGAACTGTAGGCCAAAGCCATTTACATAACACAGTTTTGTTTTGTTTTGTTTTAAAGATTTATTTATTTATTCATACAGAACTGGGGTACAGGCCAGAGATGCGGAGGGTGAGAGGATTCACCAGGGACAGAGTGGGGAGCAGAA